TAGTGCTTGTGAAAAAAATTGTTATACAAATTTTATGTACCCCCTTTAAGGGGCTGTATCTTAACAAGGGATGTTCCAATGAAGTTTCTTTATATGAAAGATCCTATCTTTTTTTTGATGAGGAATCACCTCCTTAAATGTTTTACACTTATTCAGTTACACCCTGTATAATAGAGAATTTCCTAAAGGAAACAGTTGTCTCACATCAGACAACAACAAATCTCCAAATATAAAAACTACATTATTTGTGGGTTTAGAATTTTTTTGGCTGTTATCAACATCGACTACATTGGTCATTAGCCTCATGTCCTGGGTAGGCAATGTTGATAACTCCCCCTCCCAACTTCAGCTAGACAAATTCTCTCGAGAAAAATGTCTGGTCGAGGTTGGAATCGAACTCACGACCTTACAGTCGTGAGACATAAAAAGAATACTAGCACTTTCATATATATATTCCAGGTAGCTCCCATCATTGTCCACAACAAAGAAATGGTGGCACCACTTTTATTCGTCCATAGGTTGGTCACAGTTCCTTCAAGCAAATAAAGATAAGTTCAGAGTATCTTAGTGAATCCGCGACTTTTCAGAAAGACGATGGTGCCTCAATGTTTATAAGTCCATTGTCGCTTATATACACTACTAGTACTATGTTGCTGTATCTCTGCTGTTCCAATGTTTTGACAGAATCAGAATCAACGAACTTAGGCGTGCGCATCGTTATTTATTTATTTGATCCATACAAACTTGTTGAGTTTTATTACATGGATTCCTATTATTAACAATATGTACAATGTAAATTCAACTTAAAAAAGAAATATATTTTTATTACGTACCTACTATAAGAACTGTTGGGGTACAGATTTAGGTAGATTTATTTTCACGAAGATATATTCAGTATATTATTCAGTATTGTGTTACGGAATTTGGAATATGGTAAAGACCAATCAATATCCGTTATTTCATTGAATTCATTAGCTAATATCAACATGGTTGCGAGAGGTGATCTAGTGCTAGATATTGACACAGAAATATTGAACATAATTGTATGTCGAGTACGGTTATAGAACAGTGCTTTCAAAAAAATTGTTCTGCAGCGCCATCTAGTGGCGAGTTACAGAAAAATAGATAGCCTAAAAACCTTCGCTATGAAAAATTACTTATACATGTCAAGTTTCATCACGATCGGTTGAGCGATGTAGAAGTTATCACTTACCAACCAACCAACAAACATCCATTTTTATATATTAGATTTTGAACAAACCAAAACTGGCAAATATTTTTCTTAGTTTTTTTATTGTTGAGCTTCCTGTGATATTTTGTAGGAGGTAGTATTTTTTAACAATATACAACGAAAAATAAAATGAACAAAAAAGAAAAACTAATTCTAGTTACCTACTTCAAGTACACTCTGAGAGGTCTAAAAATGGACTGAGGTCGTAAAGCTGGCCGTGGTACATTGAAGTTGATTTGTTCCAGTTCACACAAGCAGCTGACCATCATACAATCACCATGTTTTTTTGGGGGGGTTTCGCCTTTGGGAAGTACCTGGATTGCCCATTGGTGTCCAACCACTGTTCTGAACTGTTGTCGTGGAGAATCCACTTTTCATTACACGTAACGATCCGATCCAAAAAAGGTGGTTTTGGTTGCACCAAAGCAAAGAAGAACATACCTCGAAGCATTACAATTTCAGTTGAGCGTTAAATTCGTGACCTTTCCAATACGATTTAAACCATCAAAAACGTCGATCCGAAGTGCGTTCATTGTTACTATTATTGCCAAATACCTGGTTTATTTTTCGAACTATTTCGGAATCTAATGGGTTCAATTTGAATTCGCAAAGAAAAATTGTCCCAAAATCAGTTAATGACATCATATAGTAAAAATCATGAAAGATGCAAAAAATTTGAATTCGGAAAAAATTAACATTAATGTATAGAGTAAAAAATTCTCTGTCGATCAGGATATACCACAAAACAGTAGAATAAATATTCTTTTAGATATGCAGCTACAAAAACATATTACAGTGAAACTGGCGAAACATTTGAGACTATCTAATATCTGGCAAATTTTGAGACTTTTGTAAATAGAACGGAAAAAACCCGTGCTGAAGTAACATGACGCAGAGAGATTTTTTTATGACGCTTTGTATCAAATTGTGGCAAGTTTTTTGACAGGACGGTAGTATAGTATAATAAAAAGGTACCAAATATTTTTTTAGCATCAATTCACTAAGAATGAAAGAATCTGAAACAAGATTTGGGATGTAAAAGAATCTTGCATTTTTTAACACAAAAATTGGTCTTTCTTATGACAAAATCCACATTGACATTACTTTTTTTGATAGGGAACTAAGTGATTGAAATTGTCAGATCTTGAATTAGCTATCCAATTCGAATTTCAACTAGAAAGTCCGCGTTTATTTTCTTTTTCGAAGGTTTCCAAAATTTCAGATGAAATAGATCATCTGAATTCAACTTGCCTTCTTGAATTTCATAAAAAATTGACGCATTTTAAATAGCAACGTCACGCAGTCTGTAAATAGGTGAAAAAGCCATTTCTTTACTCGTTTGGACACTTGACACTCATTTATTTGATTAAGGAATCTAATTAAGATTTCTCTCTGATAAATGTAGAGGGTGAAGGGTATTTTATGGTACGAATTTCCTTGATTGTACTCGTACCAAATATGCCCCTTTGGTTCAGCTCATGTAAAAAGATTATCGAAAATAATATGGAATCGCCTTTGAGGCCATATTTCATTTATAATGTCAGCTTATGATAGAATTACTGATGCATCCAACCCAAAGACTTTGTTCAGGTATTTGTAGTTGAATTACGCTGGTAAGAAACAAAGTCTGTGAAGAGCTGCTTCCTATATTGCTTATCCCCAACGGATTAGCTTTTTCTTGATGGAATATTTGGTAAGACAGCAGTCAAAATACGGAACTTTTTTTTTTTCATTTACGCTATGAAAATGACAATTCTAAGAATTTTTCATGCAATTCGTCAAACAAGGGTCGTCTCAACTTCACAAAGTTGTCAGATTTTTACAGCAACGAGTTATTGCAAACATGCATAACTCATCCATTTCCACTATATGGAAAAGTTTCTCTCCAGATAAAGCAGTACATATATCTTTCAGGTACCTACACTCACATAACCACCCAATATTGAAACGCATATATTGAACATTGGATTTCATTTCGCGTCATGTTTTTCCGTAATCATACCGTTATCAAATCAGTGTCGTCGTCAAAAAACAGGATGAAAATTTGCATCAGTGACTGCTTAGCTTTCAATCCAAATTCAGTTTTCCAATAAGTAGCATCAGGATGTTGACACAAGATGTTCTTTCATCCACTCTGCAGATTTTCTCCTCACTAATTCATGGAACACCTCTTGCAACAAAACAAAACTGAATTTTCTTCCGGAAGCCTGGAACTTATAAAATCTGACGTTAAGAACAAATTCTCTGGATTGACTGATATTCTTTTTGATTCTATTGGACCAGCAGGTCAAACTTATTCATTGTTTCAATGGGGTACCTCCTGTGAAAGAGCAAATGAGTTAATCTGCAGTGACTTGCTTCAAATACCTTGATTGCTCTTATAGATCATGAATATTTGTTTTGCGATTCCTAGAATTGTTCCTATGGAGAGTTCTCCCATCATCTCAGCAATAATTTCCCCCCTGACTCTGATTGGTTATAAAAACGAACAGTCATGAGATTCATTTATTGTTTTGAAATGAGCATCAGTGGAAACTCTCTTAGGAATCAGGTGAATCATAAAAATAATTGATTTTCAGTCATCAGTTGAGAACCACCACCACTGACTCTCCTGGCCATAAGGAAATATCTTTAAAAGAAATTGTCCCCGGCGAAGAATCCGTTCTGGGTCCAATAACAACTTTTCCGGTGTAAAGAAGGGTAGAGAGATCGGTTGACAATCTCTCGGTTCCCAGATTAGAAGCTACAACATACGCGTTTCTTCTTGGGTACCATCTCTGAATTACTAAAAACTGGTTCCCTGCGTACTTCACTTCTGCGTTGGCTTTATTTACACCCTCTTTATAAACGGAGTTCATATAAATAGAAGGTGCCTGAGTTCTGAGAGCAACCATCTTACTAATAAGTTTTTTCTGGTGAAAACTCCCAACTACCTCTCCATCTCCGTGTATCCAAGGGAGAACCTTCAGTTTTTGATTTTGCCATGGCATCATAGTGAGCTGATGAAGGTGTTTGATATCTTGTCTTTCACCTTGGGTATCAGCTATTTGCTGTAGACCAATTTCATCTCCATAAAATATGGAAGGAGTACCTGGTAGCATCAGCTGTAGAAGAGTTGCCCCTAGTGTGGCATTTGCGTATGGTAGAGTGTTGGCTAGTCTGTTCGAATTTGCATTTCCCAGTGACCAATGAATCCATGGCATTCCAGGCTTCGAAAAGAGGGTACCATTTTGTAGAGAACCAATTTGTTTGCTTACTTCAGTTACTCCTTTCTCCAAATTCAGTTTGACATCCACTAAATCCACGTTATTCAAAATGATGTTTATTATCGATTTTGGAGCTGAACTGATGAAAGCTTCACTAACTATTATGACCCTATTTTCTCCCAAAATTTTTTTCCACCGTCGTAATGAGTTTGCTAAAAAAGGGTCGTCTTTCAAATACTCTAATCCCTTGAAATAAAATCCTTCGACTCCGTTTGAAATCCAATACAAAATTGATTCTTCAATTATATCAAGCTCTTCGTCTCTCTCACTTCTCAAAAATTCCATTGTAGGTCCTGAATTGCTTTCGTTCTTCTGGTCATACATTTTTTTATGTACAAGTTTCTTGACGAACGGAAATATGGGAAGATCTAACATCAAAGATATATTTCTTGAGTTCAAACGTTTCACCATGCTACTGAAATCTTTGAGCGTCCCTAGAGACGGGGCTATATCAGTTAAACTGGTAATGTTTTCGAAATCGTACGGATAGTTTGGACTGTCAAAAATAGAATTCAGTCTAACGCCTCTTGCTCCAAGTTCCATAATGTAGTCCGCTTTCATTGAAATTCCTTTGAAGTCCCCTTCCATGTTTTGCCCTCCGTTATAGAAGCTGGCTGGGAATATTTCGTAAAGCAAATTCCCTTGATACCAAAAGGTAGGAGGGTTGCATTTCTGTGGCAAAGTAGAAATCATTGCTACAACGAGTGCTACCATAGCTACTAGGCCGGAGAGAAACAACCACGTGGAGATTTTGCGGATCAGAGGCCAGTTCCATGTCATGAAAAAATAGTTATCTGGTGGATTCCGGAAAGTGAGTTGGAGTTGTTGACTCTTCTCATTGGCACCCTGAAAATTATGTTATTGAAAAATTGATAGTTGAGTTATTGATCACTTCTCTCACCCCAGGTTCTTTCTCCACATTTTTGCCGTTGTAGTGATGTACATTTCTGTGGTTCAATAGCTGTTCACAAGCAGGTTCAGCTAATGCAGAGGAACTAGAAGATGCTGATTCAGCTTTCTCCTCGTCTGAACCTGTTAAGTAAACATTTTTTGAATTACCAAAATAAATATTCAAGGGAATCACAAAAAGAAAAGTAATTAGGAGCTGATTAAATAGCAAATTTATCTTGAGGATCTCAATTGGGAGATCTTCTGACGAAAAACTTCGTGAATAGTTCTCTGAAGATATCGACAAACTACTAAACTCCATAATAGATAGAAACAAAGACATTATTTTCATTGAATTCATTAGATACTGATATTGAAAAATGTTAAAAACTGTATCTTATTACTCAAGTACCTAAGGTAGATTATCGGATCATATACTCGTTTGCGTTTTTGGTAAACTGGGAGGAATCATACAAACCATTATCAATACCACCTTCTAAATTCAGTGTAGGACCTATTTTTAGTACCATAGAAGTCTATTAGTGGGATTTGGATAGTACAAATATCAAAAGACTGTGACAATTAAGGAGTTTTCTGATTGACTCGGCCGATACTTGCTGAAGATCTATAGTAATTTCACAAACTACACCGGAAACGACTTGATCTTCACAACTTTATTTCTGGAAGTTTCTCGATATGTTTCGCTACCACAGTAGCTTCATTATTCGTAGTGAATAACATACTGAAAACTGATTCTTCCCTCTAACTTTTATATACCCCACGTAATCGCTAGTGGAAACGACCTACTAGGTACAACATTATAAATAAAACTGATTTCTAACATTTTTTAACATATCAGGTGTGACCGACCTAATCGCAAGCGTTATTCTTTCTTTTGAGTCATTCAAATCTGAAGGTTAAGTTTTGTAGCCATTGCTCTTTACATATCCCCATAAAAAGAAATCTAATGACGAAAGATCAGGTGATCGCGCTGGTCATTCAATAGATCCTCGCCTCCCTATCCACCGATTGGGAAATGTATCGAGGTATTGCCGGACCTTAACTTGGTATTGTGGGATTGTTCCATCCTGCTGAAACCATATCGTATTCACTGGAACTTGAGGGTTTCCTGGATCAGGATACAAAATTGCTCAGCTTGTAATGACTTCATTTTGAAGTAGTGCCAAATAATTAACGCCATTCAAGTTACCCTCAATGAAAAATGGACCAGTGATATGGTTTCCTATAATACCTGTCCAAATATTAACCATTCGAATGTATTGCGTGTGTTCTTCTCTCATCCAGTTAGGATTTTCCATTGACCAGTAGCGGAAATTTTGCCGATTAGCATGACCGTTAAGAGACAAATACACTCATCAGAGAACATAACGTCTTATAATTGGATGATATTGTTATCCAATATGTCCATCATTTGCTCACAAAAATAAGTTCTTCTAGTTCCAGAGACCAAGCTCTCGAATCTGCTTCTCTATTTGGCTTATTGTTCCTCGAGATATGGGCGATAAATTAGGAAATTTCTCATGAATTTCCGTTAATATAACCATTTGTCAGACTTGAAGTTAACGAACTTTGATCTTGAATTAAAATACTGACAACTCATGTTGTTACATATAGAACAAGTTGACCAGGCATTTTAAACTAACGTTGTCACAGAAGCCATCATTTGCTCACAAAAATAAGTTCTTCTATCAAAACCGTCTTCCATGAGCTCCTGAGTAGGTGTCATTTCATAGAGCTACATTTTATTTTTTTAATATGTTTACTATCGATGTATGGCTAACATTGAATGTAGTGGATGCCTATCTACTCGATGTATGCGGGTTTTCCTCAAACTCAAGCATCACATCTAATTTGAGTTCATCACTCATTGCATTGGCAGCTCCTTTTTTATCTGCCCCACATGACCAAGCTCTCGAATCTGCTTCTCTATTTTGCTTATTGTTCCTTGAGATATGGGCGGTAAATTACGAAATTTCTCGTCAATTTCCATTAATCTAACCATTTGTCAGACTTGAAGTTAACGAACTTTGATCTCAAATTGAAATACTGACAGCTCATGTTGTTACATACAAAACAAGTTGACAAGGCGTTTTAAACTAACGTTGCCACGGAAATTATTCAGTTTTTTAAAGGATACTATCTAAAAAGACCAATGATCACTTACACCACGGTGTAGGGAGTGGTCGTTTGTTGATAATGCTGGCGCTCCCTCCCGAATGTATCGGGGCTTCGGGAGATAGGGCCTAACCAGCGCAAACGACGGTTAAAAAAATATCTTTATTGTCCAACAGTTACCCATTTACAGGGCAGTATGAAATTATATTCAAAATAATTACCAATATACACTGAAAAATAAAATGAACAGAAAAAAAAACTAATTCTAACTACCTACTTTAAGTACACTCTGAGAGGTCAAAAAATGAACTGAGATCGTGAAACTGGCCGTGGCACATTGAACTTAATTTTTTCCAGTTCACACAAGGTAAATTAGGAAATTTCTCATAAATTTCCATTAATCTAACCATTTGTCAGACTTGAAGTTAACAAACTTTAATCTCAAATTAAAATACTGACAGCTCATGTTGTTACATACAAGGCGTTTTAAACTAACGTTGCCACGGAAATTATTCGGTTTTTTAAAGGATACCATCTAAAAAGAACATTGCTATGTTTTTTTTATTTTCTTATTATCAGTACCTCCACATGAAATAAGTTTTGAGTATATTGCAATAAGTTTTGAGTGTATTTTATGGATTTTCGGTAACCATATTATTTTGATTTATTTTATCTCAATTATCGCAATAAACTTGAAACCGATAACATTTTTGAATAGAGAATGAAGAGACCTTTCAAACGATATATAAGAAACCTGTACTTCCTATTTAAAAAATTGGAGGTTGTACCCGTCATTCGACGGGGTTTAAAGGTAGGGGTAGCATTTTTATCTTGGAGTATGTCAAATTATAATTTAAATTCGACGTGTTTTGAGATTTTGTTAAAATTTGTACCATAACCGAAATAATGAATTCATTTCATTTGGCTTCCACACACTGTTCTACATGTGAAATTCAAATGCTATTCACAAAATTATTCCATAGACTATAGACGATAATTTGAATTACGAAATATGTCAAAGCTGTTAATCAATGAATACGGAAACGGATTCTGAGATGTTGATTTTTTAACTTTGAAACTCTAAGATAAATACTCATAATTATTAACAATTTTTTTCAGTAGAAAAATTCATGGAACAGCACATTTTGTAATTTCCATATGCATATAAAATTCTTCATTTCAATTTTTAACTTTTTCAGATTGACAAAATGGTTAAGGCTTTCGCGGCCGAGGTTTCAGTGTCACTATTTTCCGGATTTGAAGGCCGTGGATTTTTGGAATTTCTTCCTGACGTTTCGCTGGGGTGAGTGGTTAGCTTCCTCAGAAGTTCATACATCATGAGTTAATATCTCCGATGACTGGAAGTTACGGCTGCGTAACGAGTATTTTTGTTGACTCTTCAGGTAGTTTGGTGTACTTATACCTGTACCTGGCTAAGGTTAATTGGGTAAATAGTCTTTATGTTAATTCAGGTAATCTATTGCTATACCTGGATTTGGTAAATTGTCAGTCACATTCGTTGACCCTTTCCTACCTATCGTCATGCTGTTTGCTATCATTGAACTTCTAAGAATGGGATTCTATTGATTGAGGTTCACAGCTTTTTCTTTTCTGTTAAAATTATGTGTGTGTTTGTGGATTTCTATTGCCTCCCGTCGACTATGGTGTTTTCAAACAGAATCCTGTGGGTCTCTTCTGTCTTTAGCCGACCTGATGCTTTGTTGTGTCTTCTTGGTGTATTTATATCAATGTTATGTTTCCCCAAGAGTTTTCTAATTCTGTCTGTGACTCTAGAAAATAAGGTAGATACGGGGCAACCATCTGAGCCGTCTCCCAGAAAGGTTTTTACAAACGAATCCTTTCTCAACTCAATATTGCTAGTCCTTACATTGGACCTACCCACAAAAACATTCTTCATTCATTTCTTCCTATGTTTTTTACTACTTGTATTTATAACTAACGTTACTACAGTTTCGTCACGTTTCGTTAGTTACAGAAATAAGTGTTAAAAAAACATAGAAAGTTTTGTTTCTTATTTTTCATGATCTCCTACTACGTAATAAAGGCTACATCCATCAATCGAGTCATTTTTAATTTGCAGAAATATATGGATATCCTATTTTAATCTCAGAGGTCAACACATTTGTCCAACTACATACAAGGTTTGGCAAATTTCTAAGAACTCAACACTGACATACTCTCATTTTTCAAATGCGAAATCTTAATTGTACTCTTAGGTTGTGAAAAGTGTGTCATAGGAAACGTTTTATCAACTATAAGTAAACATTGAAGTAGCAAACTGATCTCAATAACTGGGTGTGATAAACAAACCCATGAATGCAAGATAACGTTTAATTTCAACGCATTATGGAAATATAGATAATTATTACAGATTAATTATTTTTATTACTTGAAATACAACTTTGCAACTATGAATATCAATGAAGGTAATAGACCACACAACATA